TTAAAATATACATAACCTATATATATATTTTAAAATAAATATTCTACTCTGATGTAAATAGAGTATATAAGCTTAATCATAATAAGGTTATATTTTTTAAAATATTCTTTTTATTGTGCGTTAAATTATTGAAAATATTTTAATAATTTTATCTGATTTAATAAGGATATATATGTAAATTTACTCGTGATTAAATAATAACACATTTTATTTGATGTTTTTATAGTGTTTATGTGGTGTGTGACGGTGAAAATTGTTTATTCGCATGCTATAAATTTTTTCGTTACATTTTTGACTGAATGATATTTTTATATTTGTAAGTATTAAAATATAAAAATAATTAAAAAATAAATAAAAATAATTTCTGATAGGCTTATTCTATGCTCTCGAGATGCAGTACTATTAAAAATACATTAGAAATTGTAAATGCTTATTTAAAGAACTATTGTGGCAATCTGTTTAACTTAATTACTGTGGATTTATAGACTTTAAATTGACAATCGAACTACTTTGTTATCTCATATAAACCCTGTATTTTGTGTCTTTTATTAAACTTTTTTGGACTACGAGTAATTCCAAACCATTTAACATATTGGAGATAGCCAATCTCTTCAAAAAAATTTCAATTGATAAACTAATTATTTAATAATGTTCTTGCATGAGTGACAAGAATGTTATAAAACTCTTTTGAGGTTGAAACTTATTAATTTTTACATTTTTATACTTATAAATGGAGTTTAAAAAAATTATAAAAATATTCAGTTTTGTGTTATTTATTTTTAAAAATTTAAATAAAAGATTTTATTTTTCTGATGGTCTTCAAATTTGAATTTCTTCACTTTAGAAGTATTTAAAAACAAAAATATCACAAAATCATAATAATAAGTTTCTCAAAATCATTTCTCTTTAAAAATATATATTTACTAAATTATTTTACACTTCAAAAATTGTTAATAGAATATATTTTGCAGTTAGAATAAACGCGTAATATATATATTTTTTTGACACAAAATTCATGTCACTTCCACTACTTTATTATTTTTTATCTGAAAAAATAGTATTTTCTAATACAATGTACAGTACAGTAAATATATAAAATAAAACGATTATGTGCAGCATTCAGTGAAGTTTTTAGCTTTTTGATAACATTCCACAGATAAATTACTGTTTAAACGATAGCATTTAAAACTAATACGTTATTTTGAGAGAGGAAATATTTCTATCTGTCACCAGCGATAAGAATGGAAAAACAATCTTTTACGTCAAATGTTTTTAGAAGCTTATTTAGAAAGTTGGAATTCTTCAAGTTATTTTGACAAATCACTAAGGGAACATGATGTTTCCTTAGTAAACGATCTTTTAAAACAAATATATCTGTTTTTAAAAATTTTAATTTGCGTAATTATACGTTCCTACTAAAAAACAAACACGAAAATGTATTTTATCTTATATTCTAGAAGATAATCCTTGTTTTCTCTAGTGCACTGCTGATTTCTAGAACATTTATTCAATTAATTATAATTTCTATTCCAAAAATTATTAATTTAAGTTTTAAATTGTCAGATTTTAAATTCCTTAGAACTGGGCTTAAGAATTATGCAAGACTGAAATATTTCTAAACTGACCTTGGTTTAAATGTATTGTTATTTAAAATCTCTACAGTTTTCTCTATTTACTTTGTTCATATATGAACAGTATACTGTATAACATTTTCAATGCTTGAATAGGAAAAATTCAAATAATTATTTCAATGAGAACTTAATCTTCATATATTGGTACTCGCATGTTAACTAGAGCAAGGCTTTATCTTAAATTTCAACATAGAGTGCATTTTTATTTGAAAAAATTTAACAAGAGAAACTTTATTCTTATATTCCATATTCCCACCCAATTTGGGTGGGAATATGGAGGAGTAGAGTTTCTCTTTTAGGACCATTCTTATATATTCTATTCTATAACATAACCAAATAATTATGCGTTTCAATCGTTAACAAAATGTTGGTTGTTACCGATTCGAAAGTGAAATTCCGCAAATTGTTAATATTAAGAACGAAACTATAAAAAAGAATTCATGAATCCAGGAAGTAATTTTATTTCTTTTGCCATTTCCAATTACAGATTAAATGATTACTTCGTGTTTTTGACTTTATTTACTGGTTGGAAACAGTAATTTTCTCTTTCGACCAACGACAATATATCAACAACTATTTAAATATCAGATAATACAGCTTCTCTTCCTCAGTTGCCGGATGCGAGGAACTTCACGTCAGTGAATTTGGTAGTTCGCGTATCCTGTATGGAACAATATAAACTGTCCGACAGTGACACTATTGTTATGAATTTCTGTGAAAGTATCTCTGGACATTTAGTGTAAATTGTTACAATTCGACAGTCGAAACATGACGGATCGAATGTTGCTGGATTTCTCTTAATATTACAAACTTAGGATCAAAATGGCAATGAATATACTCAAGGTTATACTTCTCTTAACGAGTAAGTTCATTAGCAAATTATATTATTTTTTAATATATAACGTTATTAATCAAGAACTTTTTTCTTTTTATAATACTTTCCTCCTTAATTTAATTCAAAGTAGTTTTTGAAAATATCTATGGTAAAGAATGCGATTCGAAATTGAACACGTGTATCCATATTGTTCAACCTTTCTTGCATTTACATCAATACATGTTTCCCGTCAACATTTCGGATATTCAAAACGTTTGCAAGTAAGAAAACAAATTATGTATATATCATAAATGTATTTTTAGATTAAAAATTTCGTTTTTAATCTCCATTAAATCATTATTTTTAGACGTTGGAGCGAATTAATGGAATGTGTTCGTATATTTATGAACGACTGTTCTACGGTTAATCAAAAGAATAAGTTTAATGATGCCGTTCGAATACCTGTTCACGTAGTTCATGCCATTTGCAGTTCAGAAAAATATCAAAAAGGTAATCTATTTTAAATGAACAAATCACGAATATATAATTTATAGAAAATGACAGAATTGTCCGAAAATATCCAGAAAATATTTATGATATATTATTATTATTATGACATCATCCGGGTGTTGCCAGTTTGTCATTGACCGATTATGGATAACGGAAAGAGGAATCACGTGATTAGATGATGACCAGTTAAATTCCAGATGATATTCAAAACGTGTCCTTGTCCTATTTGTGATGTCATTAATGCTAGTTTGTCATGAAATGCCTCATTTTTATAAAAAGTATTTTGACAGAAATAAAAAAGAAATTAATATGATTCATCTACACTTATCATAATAGAAAATGATAAGAATATTTTTCAATGTATAAAGCAAGGACACGAAGTTTTAATGTAAAATATTAAAAATAATTTGTGAGTTTGAAAATGGCANATTATAAAAGTACTTTATTTTATATTTAAATTATATAAATAATATAATTTAAATATAAATTAAAAGCTAATATAAATTCCGTAACGTATTTTAACTCGTATATAATACTAAAACAACATCAAACAACTAGAAAAATTATTGCTTAGTGCAATATGTAGTGTACAAAGCAAGTACAGTACATCACTACGATGCATTTATTACTATTAATTATATTTTTGCATTATTAGTATTATCATCAGACATTTATCATTATTTTTCTGTATATTAATATATATAGAAACATAACAGATTCTCCCATGTATATGCTTACAATATACAAAGCAATACGAGAGAAATCTTGCAAAAGTGTAGGTAATAGAAAAAAAAGTAAATAATAGAAAAAACTAGTTTGAAATTCGATAACTATCATCATATTCCAGATATTTTTGCATATTTAAGTAACAAATTATTATTTTTAATAGTAACATTTATATTTTATAAACCTAATACATTTATTTATTTTTAAATGCATGTTCATGGATTAAATATCATTTAAAATTTCATTAGAGTCATTTATTTATTAAAGAATAAGTTAACTTTTTCAACTTTTTCAAATAATCGCCGTGTTATGAAAATACATTGGTGCATATTTTAATAAATTATATTATTGATTTTTTTTTCCAGAAAATATAAACTTGTGATTGAAAATATAAAGGATTCGGATGTTATAACCTGTGTGAACCTAACAATCGAGACATCGGTTAGTCATTTACATTATGTAACAATTGTAATTTTATCTGCGGCCTTGACTGAGTTCTCTATTTGCTGATCGAGTATTTGGGTCTTGTGTTTTCCTGTTCTCACCGGACCAAGAAATCAAAATAAATGGAGTCATTTTACAAAATGTATTAAACAAAAGTAACTTTCTGACATAAAATGACCTCTATTTTTATATTGAAAAAAAAATTATTTGACATCCCCTAAAACACTGGTTTTTTTTTTGTAAAAATAAAGATTGTGTTTAAAAAATGAATGTAAAATTTCAACATTTAAAATGATTTCCTCCCATTTAAATGTTTAAACTTTGATAACGATCGTTTTAAAATGTTTAAGGGGGGATTCTACGAACCGAAAGCGGTAAATATGTTTACTAGAAAAATTATCGAAAATATTTATTTGAATTTTGATTCTAGAGTATAAATGACATTTAATGATACCATTTAATCGAGAGAAAAAAGTAAAGGAATATCATTTGTAATTATCGTGTAAAGTTGCTTCAAAATGGTCATTGCTTATTATTTTGTCCACAAACGCAAAGAAATGGCTTAACGCAAAACTAACCAAGGATTAAATGGAGAGAAAATAATACTGTTGTTTTTAAAACTGTTATTTGTGGCAACTTAATTATTACTTTTTTTTCTATTTTGCAATAATGGCAGTAGCGACAGCAGAGACGCTTGACAAACGATCCTTGATGGTCATTCTTATCCAATGGTTGCGCTAAGCTCTTATCCATCTCGACTCGTTCGACACATTTATAATTCCGGAAATTTTCTTTTATTATGATTTCTCTTTTTATAAATAGCACCAGATGGCTCTGCTTGTGTCATGCCCCACTTTCCTCCGATCCATCCATGCTCTTTCTTTGCCCACTTTATTATTCACAGAACGAAAAAGAGATCATTAATAAAACATGTGTTGCATTTGAGAAATAGAACAGAACTATTAAATAGAAACATTTGTCTCCAAATATAGTAACCGTATCTAAACATAAGCGGAAAAATTTAGGCTTTTGTATTAAAAATAACGCCAATTAATTAATTATAATCTTCGATAAATATTTAGTTTCCAAATGCGAATTAATGAGGGCAAACGTTTCAATTTTGATTGAAATGTCCAAATGTTGGCTTATAAACAATCGGTTAAACCGACAAAAAAAGGAAATCTTAAACTTCCTTGAGAAGGTGAATGTTTGTTTGTAGAATATAGACATTGCGTCATTATTCTTCATTGATTTAGAACATTTATCCGCTATTTGTATGCAAAATAAGTTTATAACGCCCTAATTCCGTTAGACGATTTTGATTCTTACAAGGGACGTCCCTTTTATTTAGGACAAAGACATGTAATATTCCGGAAGTCAGATCGAAGGATAGCCGACCTCATACCCTGTGAATTATTGAGTCGTCTACCCTTGATCTGATCTGATTATCGAATGGCTTGAATTAGTCATTCGATTGTGTTGTGTTACACCGGTCTTTGACTTCTGGTCCTTCGCCTAATTCACGGCTTCCCTTTAAGGTAACGAGTGATAGAATAAAGCAAAATACTTTTACGTTTATCATCTTATATGTTCCAAAACTTAAAATTAAAAAAAAAGATAAATATTTTCTTTCTTGTTATCTGATCCGCCTGTCTTTATACAGTACATGCGATCCGATCAACTCTTGCGTATCCAGCTGCAGAATGGAGTCCAGAACAATATACTTATTAAACATCTATAAATCTAATATAGAATGATGTACAGCAAACTTAATTCAATTTATCAGATTATTGGGATTCCAATTTGCGTCGTGTCGTTGATATATCTGTATTTTGTGTTCATTTTAATGCAGTTTTCATTGTAGGGCTCTCGCCAATTCTTATCTGACGAGCATTTTTCTTCAGTTTCTGGTTAAGGGCGTTTCTTATCTCCCTTTAAAAGCAATGCTTGAACTCTTCCTTTTTTCATTTCTACTTATTTCGACAACCCTTATTTTTTCATTTTATGGATATTTTCAAGCATGATATGTTTTGCCCGCAGAGTAACTTGAACTTTGATATCCTCTATTGCTCCCAAGAAAATGGCTCTCTTAAAATACATTTGAATTCCTCGAGTTTCGTTCGAATTTAATAAAGGAAAAAGATTTAATATGTAACAAATTTTTCTATAGTAACAGAATTTCTTTCCCTTTTCCCTCCTCCACTACAATTTTTGCTTTTATTTCTTATTAATAATTGAAATATACTGTTTCTACTTAACACATATTCTGTATATACTATAGTCACATACTGTATTTATCGATTCTCAATAAACAAATATAATATTTGATATATAATATAAGAAAAATGATCAATTATTATTTAGTTACAGCTCTATTTTTAATTAAAAATGTATTATTTTTCTTCTAATATTTTGAGAAATTGCATGTTGGTTATGTCAATTTTAGGATTATAAAACCTTTTAAAGATATATTTAATCTACAGAAAGTATATTTACTTATTATTGAAAATATTGTCTGGCACACATGATATCACTTGTAAATAGTGATATGATATGTGCCAGACTTTATTTAATCACCAAGTAATAGGTTTACATTTCCACATAGCACATGTCCTCCTACTTAGTTTTTCTCATAAACTTTCTTCAAATATGTCCTATCTACCTGCAAATTTTTATTCAAACTACAATAGTTGACAGTTTATTTCCTTATATGAATTTTAAACTAGAATAAAACCTATTATTTTGCATAAATGTTAAAGTTCAGAAGAGGTTGAACTCAGAAAGGTTGAAAATGTAAAGGAAAATATGAGATTGAATGTATTTCATAGCTCATATATTTGTTTAAGAACTCATTTATTTATTAAAAACAAGAAAATAACTTATAAAAACTTTTATAACATTACCAAAATATGTTACATTTTCACACTCCATTTCTTCATTTCTACTTGATGTAGCAGAATCACATTTATCACTTGCTGAACATTTCTCATCCCAGGTTTGATGATCTACCTCATCTGTATTTCCATTGTAAACTTTTTCATCTAAAAATGAATATATTATACTAAATTTTATGATTATTATTATTAAATTTATTTTATTTTAAAACATTAATATGCAAAGTTAAATCAAAAATAAAGCCTATTTGTTTTTATTAAATTAAAATATTTTCAATTGTACTGTACCCTCTTGATTCTCTAAACATTTATCACATTGGTTCATAACTATCCTAATGCTATCAATAAAGTTTTCAGTTATTTCATAAGCCACTTGCACACTATTTTTTAGCTTTATAATGTCTAACTTGCTAGCAAAAATTGTAGTAGTACATTATCATGATACAAAATGATAAAGTACTACTACAATCCCTGAACAAAAGTATGGAATATTTTGTAATTGTTGTGGGAAAATTATTTTTATCCTGAAATAATCAAATTCACAAAAATATTATTGAACTTTTAACAATGGGCAAATGTTGTAGACATACTAAAGGATTTATGCACCAAATGTTGTAAAGATATTGCTTAAATTACAGAATTACAGCATTTCAAAGAGTTGAACAAAAGAATGGAATACTTATGATTAATATTTTGTAGGGCTCTAATTACAGCCATAACTCTTTGTGGTATTATAGAAATAAAGTTTTTTACATAGTTCTGGATCAATCTCTGACCATGATTCTTTGACTGTCTTCTTTAATTCTTCTATGATTGTAGCTCTTTTTTTAGACACCATTTTCTTCAGAATATTTCAAACATTTTCAATAGGTGTTAATGAGACAAATATTAATGTATTGGATATGACAGTAGGGAGGAAGCTAGCAGAAAAAGGTTTCCATTAAAACTAAAGCTAAAACAAAGCTTTATAAGACAAAAGAAAAAAAACAAAAACAAGATGGTTTGAAATAGTCCAAAAGTCAAAGACTGGACTGTTAATGAGTGGCAATGACTTATATTCACAGGTGAATCAAAAATATGTATTGACTATGGTGATGAGGTAGTAGATCAGTACACAGAAGATCAGATAAAAAATTTCATTCCGATCATTTAAATTCATCAATAAAATTTCCTAAAAGTGTAATGTATAACCTGTAAAAGAGAACTGTAAACTGTTGATGAGAAGGCAATCCTTAATAGTACATTGAATGCTGATGGTTATTTGGAGTTATTAGAATCTTTGGTCATTAAAACATCCAAAGATCATTTTGGTGATGATTTCATCTAACAGAACAACAACACATCATGTCATAGAGCTAGACAAATTAAGCAATGGTTTTAAAAACATAATATATAGCATTTAGAATGACCTGCCAACAGTCCAGATATATCTCCAATTGAAAATGTTTGGAATATTCTGAAGAAAATGGTGTTTAAAAAAAGAGCTTCAACCATAGAAGAATTAATGAAGACAGTCAAAGAATCATAGTCAGAGGTTAATCCAGAACTATATAAAAAACTTATTTTTATAATACCACAAAGTAATTAGAGCAAAAAGTGGCCCTACAAAATATTAATCATCAGTATTCCATACAATTTGTTTGAAATTTGTAATTTCAGGAAGCCAACTTTTATTTATTTACAAGGATGGTGACAAGTTTTTTAAACTTTTCTAATTATACAAAAAGATCACACAAAAAATTATTGAATAAATTAAAATTATCATAATCTCATAAATTTGCTCCTTAGAATAATAATAATGCTAATTCTTAAACTAAATTACAAGCTTATCGATCACTAAGAAAATTTCCATTTGTTATACAACATTTAGTTAATATGGAGTACAGTAGTACATATATATGGCGTAATGATGCCTTTAAAACAATTTTTAAATAGTTTTTACAATAATTTGTAAAATATTTGTAAAAAAAAAAAGTCTATTTCACAAAGAAACAAAGTTACATAAAAAACAATCATATTATGCCTATGATCTTCATTTAGAGGTTATTTGAAATGTGATGCATAACTATTCTGTCAGACTTGCACTGTTTTTGAATAAATGTT